ATGGGGAAATTCTACCCTAATATTGTCATACTTGGGTTAAATTCCTAATGTCTACCTTGATTCAAATTTCATCAAGGATTTAAGATGAACCCGGTAATCTTAAGGGCACATGTTATTCAACAAGCAAAGATCACACAAGGGGATGAGAATCCATCGGTTTATTTGGTAAAAGTTGTGACAAAAGAGTGAAAGTTGAAAGCATGTTTTTGATGTTTTATGGTTTATGCTTTAAAAGAGTTTATGAAATAAATGTGTTCAAAAATAAGACAAGCTTTTGAAAACATGGATAAATTGGATATTTGAAACAATTGTATGCATCACAATTGAAAGTCATGGAGAATAGCTTTTGATTTTGAACATGTTTCATGATTTAATATGAATTTTAGATGAGAAAAGTTATAAAAAGGATCAAGTTGTCATGAAAAGCTTACTCAAGTGTCAAGATATCTCATGAGAACCAAGACCTATCATGGTAAGATCAAGCTTTATGAGCAAAGTTGAGAAAATGATCAAAGGATCATCAAAAAGCTCTTTAAAACCCTAAAAAAGTGATGAATTTGATTTAATTGAAAAATAATGAAATAAAAATATTTTTGTGATATTTTTTTATATTCATAAAGTAGAGGTAGTGAACTAGTAGTATGTAAAAAATCAGCTCAAAAGAGTTAATTTTGGTTGCAAAACAAAATGAATGAAAATGATGAAAATTAAGTGGAAAAATGAAGTTAAAATGATAAAAATATGCAAAAGGGTACCACTAGGGCTCGAACCTAGGTCTCTAAGGTTACAGGCACGCATTGTTTACCACTAGGGTGTCTGTTTCATCAGGTTATGAAACGCCCCCCAATCAATATAATATGAACTCCATCTTCAAATATGAAAACGTGTGCCCTGCCTGTGTCGTCTTCTTTGTTGAGACATCAACAACAACAACTCCATTGATAAATTGTAACTCCTTCATTTCTCAAACAAATCAAAAAATTTAAAGATCAAACTTGCTTGATTTTTAATAAGGAATCTAACCATGTAATTTATTTAAGCTATAAATCAGAGATGAGTGTGAATTTTGTTCGTACCAAATGAACCCTAGAAAAATTATGTTTCAAAATTCTCATCATACAGTCAATTAAAATGAGATTTAAGGACATGGTTAGCTTCATAGATATGATATCTATATTTTTCCTTAAGAATGTATATGCAAATGATGCTTGTATAAGGAGTTCTAAGTTTGAATTTTGTACCAAGTTGGAGAATGTCCAACGCCTCTTCGGGTGCTTCCAGGTGCAAACAAATGATATGTTTAGCTTCCTTGATCCTCCCTGAGTATACTCCAATTTACAGAATACCTTGTAGCTTGTTAAAACTTTCTGATCAATTCCAAGTGCAAGCAACAATGGCCACGAGTTGTATAGAGTGATTGGCTTATTTCAGTGATGGATTAATGCATATAGTAATGCATATATGGTGTATTGATGATGATTTGGTGGTTGGATTGCAAAGAGATTGCAAGAGTTATGAGTTTCAAAGTCTTGGACTTTTAAGCTCAATAATGGAGGTTTTGTAGTCAATTCTTGTTTTTGAGAGTATGAGGGGTTTTGAGGGCTTGTGAATTGGTTTCTTGGCTTGCTAATGGTATTTCTATTTATAGTCAAGTGGTTTTAAAGATTGAAGCAACCATATATGTGAGATAACAAGTTATGGTTTGGTTGGATGTAACTTATATTTTCTTGAGAAATCAAAGTTCCAATGCATGGTACCATGTCTCATAGAGTGGTTAGACACTTTAAGCATGCTTCTCTGAGTTTTAGGTTAAGTGTGTGAAGATGAAACAAGTGAGATGCTAAAGGAGAGTTTACAAATGCATAAAGCGAGCTTTATGGGAATGGAAGTGTGATCTTTTTCCCTTAAATGGTAAGTTTGTTTGAATAAAGCCTTAATCACTTGGATAATGGCCCAAAAGTTTGTGTAATCATCTGATTTGGAAGGATTTATGGTTTAGAGGCCTGCAAAGCAAAGATATCTAAGAATGGCATAAAGATTTGACCTTATGTTTATCAAAGAAATGACCTTTAATCCAAGTGAAAATGGCCAACTTTGTCTCATCGAATCTCTTAGCTCAAGCATGACCTTTTTATGCTCTTGGACATTTTGGAAATCTTATAACATGATCTTCAACTTTCAAGTTAACCACTTTGGATTAATCAAGTGGGAACTTGGTGAAAATTGGCCAAGAATCTAAGATGAAAAATTGATCACAACTTGTTGAAAAAAAATTTAAGTATTGGATAAAAAATATCACAACTTCATGGGCTCATATCTCTTAAATTAAGCACTTTTTGGAGATCAACCCTCATTTATAATGTTGAATAATTCATCATTCCCGACAACTTTCATGTTGAAAGTTTCCCTTGAATAAGCTTGCATCTTGGGAAAACTTGCTTGTGAAGTTACGGTTTCTTTTAGGCATAAAACACTTGAATTTCTCTATATATTTGGAAATCTTTCAGCTTTAACTTTTGTTAACTTTCTTGATTCTCTTGATTTTTGATGTTCAAGTTTGATGACTTTGAATATTTTGATGATTCTTGACTTTGAACTTCAATGTTGACCAAAAAGGATCAAAGTTTGACTTTTGTGTGACAGTTGACTTTTCTTCTGATAAATTCAAATCCTCTGATGAATACAAAATTTGTGACACAAACTTAGACACTGGTCCTACTGAGTGTGCCAATTTGTTTACCGTAAAATTTGGTAAGCAACGACTAGTCTTCTAAAACAAAGGTTTTTTGGTTACTCACATGATCGACTAGATTGATCCTAGAACATATGTCTAGTTTTGGAAATTTATGGTTTTCATATGTTTATCTTTTCGAATATGATGGTTAATTGGTAAGTAATTGTGAAACTATATGAATAAATAACAGGAAAGTAAATAGATCTGGACTAGAATGTAAAAGAACTTTTATAAAGGTAAATTGCTGGGAGATGTGACATCATCCTAATGAGGATTGGTTCAATGAGGTCATTCTTGACTACAGACTTGCCAGACTTTGTTATTCTGATTGTCTTACTATTAGCCACCGCATACAGGGGGCATTTGCCAGGAGATGTCACAAGGAGACGTCATCTTTCCATTTTCTTGTTGGGGAGATGACGATCACACTTGATGGCGTCACATATTTGTTACACCTTCATATCATATGAAGGTTATTTAATCACTCCCAGATCACTCGTGGTGAAGCGGTTGAATGGATGGTCGAGTATTTGAGAGCTCAACCAAAAAAGGCAGATGAACAGTGTTCGTCAACTAATGGGGCTCATGCCAAGTTCTCTTTCCTGAGCGGCCTATATCTAGAGCACCTGGGTGCGGCAGCATCTTCCGAGAGCGAGGGCAGTGAGTTCTTTGTTCAGTACCACCGTGATGCATCCGACAGTTTGGCTATGTACAAACCATACCCAGATCTCTCTTTCAGGATTCTCCTGATACCATTGTCCGTCGGGAGCTCGATGGCATCTTTCAAGATTGGGAGAATGATATGGTGCTTGAGGGGTATCGGATGATGCGGCATCCAGCAATTGGTATTGTGTAGAGGGATACGTGACATGATTCTACACAGTGCCACACCATTTCATGACATTGGATGCTCTTGGACGTCCACCTAGGTCTGATCATGAGAAGATCTTAGAGAACCAGCAGGCCCAGAATGATCATGTCACTGATGTCTTGCCGATCTGTCAGCGGATACAGTTGACTGGACAGGAGGATTTGGACTTAGGAATCATTCAGAGGGACGGTCCTGAGGCGGCGGCCATCGTAGGAAAGATGGTTAGGGAGGCATCGAGTGCGGTGGGATACAGGAGGCGTAAGAAGGCCATGGGGTTAGGATTAAGCATACGCAGTAGTAGGCTATGCCTTTTTTTTTCTTTTTTCGATGTAATCATTTTACATTTCGTATTTTTTGAATAATTTATGTATTTTTGAACAATTAATTGTTATGTTCATATCATTTTCCGTTGCGTGTTTATTAACGTTTTAACCGAATTACGTATCAAGTCTTTGTGTTTATTACGTACTGGCTTGATGTTTTAAAAAAAATTAATTATATTCAATATTTCGAATATGCATATCCGAAACACCTTTGGTGCGTTTTCGGATATGCATCTTTATAAATATCACTGAATGTTTAAATACAATGTTCAAATAATAATAACGTATAAATATAGGTATTTTCGAAAATACATTTTCAAAACACCTTGAAAGTTAATTTACTGTACGTTCGGAGATGCGTCTTCAAAGAACATTTTAAGATTTTTCAGAGATTTAGTTAACTTTTATATATAAGAGTGTATTAAAAGATTCCCTTAGGCTTTTTCATATGAATATTGTTGCTAGCGCTAATAGCTTTACATGAGGCCAAATTGTAGTCTTTCTGGTTATAGGTCCGGTTCATGTGTTTAATGTAGCCAACATCAAATGTAATTAGGGTTTTCCTAATATTATCTATGACGTGGCCGTTGTGTGAACCACTTACCATGAAATATATAGTGGGTTCCTTCATAAGTTTATTACATAAAACTTTATCACATAGAAAAGTGAGTAGAGAAATTTAAAGGGTGAGATTTTGAATACATGTGTCGGAAGAACAAAAAAACTGTACATTACTTTGATATTTAAACATAATAATCAAACTTTATTTTTGCAAGTCCCAACTGAAAGCAAGAGAAACTTTTCTTGAAAGAAATGACCATTGATGTTTAAATAGACTAAAGCATAATCTATACAAAATCTTAACAACAAAATAAATATGCTATTTGCATATCCATCCAATTTCATATTTTCTGGAAATATCCTTCTTTGCAGATACTCGTTTGATACAATGGTGTGTTAAATTAATCTCCTAAGGTTCACAGTCCTTGCAACTAGCAATATTCAGACATCTCATCTTTTTTCCTTGAGTTCTTCTCTCCATCATTCGCATTAGTCACTACCAATGTAAATACTAAGCATTTTCAAAACCAAAAATTCGAAAAACACCTGCAACAAAAATGCACACAAGTTAATAACAGCCCAGCCTCTAATGATTCTAGTGTATCCAATAACACTTTGCAAGTGTCCAAATCATCATACCTTCGTCGGCCTGATACTTGTTTTTGTCATCTCCGGCATACGCAAGTACATTGTATTTAGGATTCCACTCAACACTATTCATCGCAGCTCTACAGGGAATATGATGTACTGTTTTTCCAGTATGAACATTTGACTGTGCCACAAAAACAAGCAAATTCTGCTTGAGTAATCTTACAAATTCATGTTTTTGTTTAACAACAACTGGCATGTATAAACTTACAATATCGATGAACAAGTCTTCACTTGCTGAAGCAATCAAGTCCCCGGTATGATTGAAACTAATTGTCCGAACAGGCCATCTGAGAAACATAACATTCTGAATTTGTCACAAGAAGCTAAACGCTAATTATAGCTTGAAAAGCAAAAGTTGAATACAATAAACAAACGTGGAAGTGAGAGAAAACTTACTCGAGCTTTGTAAAGGTACGCACACAAAGCATCTCTGAGATAACCCATAAGCTGACAAGGGAATCAGCACTTCCAACAGCGAAATGTCTGTCTCAATATAATGAGGATATAGAATTTGTTACTTTCTATGAAAAAATGAAGATAATCTATTGAAGAAAACGGTGACAGAAATAACAATATGCAGTTACGCAACCTTGATTGCTAATTCAAGTGCGATTTGTAGGTCCAAAGATAACAAACACAAGAAACATACCTTCCTGTTGGGTCAATTGCAATGCAATAACAACCGGCTGTATGAGCCATGAGGGTATCAAGAGGTCGAAGAGATGGATACGACAATACTTCCACAGTCCCTAAGGAGGTTAGAATGTAACAAAATATAAGATATTTTTCTATACTCTATACAAAACCCATTGAAGCAAAAGGTATCGAGTAATATTTTAGAAGGTAACTAACAAAGCAAACAATGATCTTACCATTTCCAGTTGTTAAGAAAAACATCTCGCCAGTCATGTTCCAAGCAATCTCATTTACCTAGGAAAGATACGGGAATTATCAGAAAATTTGAGTTAATTTTTCACAAAAGAGTTAAACAAATGTTTGCCACTGTATGAAACATGTGCTATGAATACAAGACATGTCATTTAAATAGTTAAACCTATTTGTGTTCTCATATCAACCATACCACTAAACTGCAATGATGTACACTACCAAATATTATAATTATGTAATCAGAAAGACACTTATAAATTCCTAAACAATCAAGCACTGGTGTTGTTGAGCAAAACAATGAGCTCCTGTACAACATCATAGGGAGAATCATAGAAATACACTTGTTCAAATCTCCAATCATTTGCATATAATTAGCAATCCATACTCATTTTTGCATCTAGGGAGAATCCATATAACTAGCATTGGTTTGGCAGTAAGTAAAAACAATTTCCTTGACTTGACTCTATTTTCAACAGATATGTTAAGTTTCAATGCATTGAAATTGTAAACAACTCATTCGACACATATGGAAGTCAAACTAAACAAACATGCAATTCATGGTTGGTTCTCATGGTTTGACATCAGGGAAGTTGGTTCTTCCAGTTGATAGCATATTTATATCAATTAAAAAGGTAATAGATAATTCACACACAAACTAACAAGCGCATTTTCAGACTGTAAATTTCAACTACGAGTTATTTACCAATTAAATGCACTAAAAACACGAGAAAAATAAAGCTAGATAATTAAAACGCATTATTTTACCGATCAATAGAGCAGTGGCTGAGTTGTAAAGGGGAAAAACACTTAATGGAAAATTATTTCTCCTATTCTCAATCTTCCAATGAAATTGTTTGTTTCTTAGGGTTGTGTTTACCAATTTCCAATTTGTCTTTTAACTGATTCATTTTGTAGCCTTGGCTCGGGACAAGCCTTAAAAAACTGTCAGAAATATAACAGACTGCAACAATGAAGCATACACTAGGCTATACCTCATAGTTGAACTTGCGCCTATGAATTGGTTTAAATTTCCGAACATCAAGTATTGTTAATTCATCATCCTATAAAAAAGAAAAGACAAGGTAAGATTTCACATTGCTAAAAACGGCAAGATAATCATAGCCAAACGCTGTCTATTTAGTAGCTACAATACAAAGCTCGATGAATCAAAAAAAGGAATCGACTCAAACATGTGTGTGTACTGCAGAGCTATAAGAAAATTAAGGGATTGTGTAACATACCCTATTACCTACTGCTACATGAGTACCATCAGGTTTGTAGGTGATGTTGATGTTCTCTCCGCTAAGTTCTGCTTGTTGTGAGCATTTCCCACCTGCAGAAATAAAAGTATCCCAAAATATAAAAGCTCTTAGTCTTAGTTCATAATAAAAGTTTATAATAATTCTCCTCCCTTGTGCATGAATAATTATAAATGAATCGTACAGCTGATTGATCACTTACTACGAGCATCCCAGAGACGAACAGTCTTGTCACCCGATGCAGTTGCAATAAGATCGGGATGTTTGGGGTCCCAGCATAGCTGATCCACACTATCCGTGTGACCCTTCAATTCAATATCTTTAACTTTACCCTATAATAATCCCCCGCCAAATGGAACAATTAAATTTCTATCAACAAAAGAATAAGAAGGATGCCTAAAATAGTTCGCAGTTACATAAAACTAGCAGCCAGAATTGGTCGAAATTTTTTTGGAAAAATGCTTCATTTTATATAGATACGCATGGAAAGTTAACAGTTGCCTTAGTTTACTCTACAGCTTCTAGTTTCAGCAACAATTTCCTATCTGATCATGCATGATTTGTCATGTATTTCTTGAATTAATAGAAAGATAGTCTAATATCAATTTCATTTTAGATCATGAAAGGTCACCAAAACAGCATAAGTCTAAACGACGTATTTACTCAAAGACAAATCTTTTAGAGGTCATGTCATCTCATCTCATTCACCAAAAGTTAAAAAAGGCATTCATTAAGATTTGTTAAAATGTCCTGCAGTAATTTCAAAAGGGCATATCTTAAACCATATGCCAATACTTAAGGGAAATCACCACAATTCTATGTGCAACATCAGAAGGTAGCTAAGATGCATATTTAGAGCGCATTTAGGTAAATAACTTTTCTGTTTATTCAAGAAAAATACTCTACAGAGCTTAATTGAACAACAACCACCAAACCTTACCCCACTAAGTAGAGCCGACTACATGAATCAACTTTCGTCATAATGTTCTATCCCGATTCCCGAACCATGCTTTTATCCAAATCGTTAATCCCGAGGCCTTTCTTAATAACTTCTCTTATAAATTTTCTAGGTCGTCCTCTACCTCTAGTTGTTTGACTACCCTCTATCTATATGATCTACCCTCCTTACCACAATCTACAAATCTTCTTGCTACATACTCAAATCACCTAAGTCTATTTTCCACCATCTTTTCTACAAAGCTTAACTGAACATTTATTCAAAAGTAATCAAGGGAACCTAATGAAACAAACTGAAAAAACTTATAGACATGTTGTTAGATATTTCCACAAGTGTATCAAAAGTGCAAACACTGACATAAATATGTGTGCCATAAAATAACTAGAAATAAAAAGACAAGCATAAGCCCAAGACTGATAGAAATGGCCTTTGTCTTCCATAATCCATGAAATCAAACAGTGACATAATTTCCAATGAAAAATAAGTGAATCACAACATAAAGACAGTGGAAAAGAAAAAAGACACGAACTTTCTTGGGTATAATTAATTGAAAACCAAACCAAAAACCAAAGAGAGCAATTAGGAGCAAGCTTACGTGGCCATGATGTGGTTCAATATGCCAGATTCGAGCAGTTTGATCAACAGAACCAGAAGCAAGTTTTGTGCCAATGCAATTCCAAGCCACAGAGTGCACCTATTAGAAAGAAAGAAAGAAACAGAAATGAAAGAAGAAAAAAAAAACCATATGAGAATTGAAACAGAAACATTGAAAAAGAGGTTTTTTTTTACATAAACCTAAGTATTAAACCGCAAGAAGCATGAAAAGGTTAGAAAAAAGCGGTACCTTCTTCTTGTGACCTGAATATTCTCTGCTATGAAGATTCTTGAACGAGTATTTTTCTTCCATTGTTAGAAGTAATGAATCTGAATTGGATTGGAGGCAGTTTCGCTTGAGTAGAAGAAAAACCCTTTTGATTCCCGCGACAACACACTATGTTTACCAAGAGAAAAAGCAATTGTAGAATTGTAAAATTGTTTGGTTCTTCAAGAATTGATATTGTCTTCGGTTTTATTCTATTTGAAACCTAACTATTGAGTTTAAACATTATTTTTTTATTAAAAATTATTATTCAATTTAATTTTAACTAAAATTAATTTTATAGAATTAATTTAGTTAAAATTATTTTTTTTCATTTTATATATTTCATTTCATATAAAAAAAATTTGAGATGAATTATATATTATATTATTGACTAAATTATATTTACTATCTTAACTATTTTTTGTTTTCATTTTTATATTTTATCTATGTTTAGAGGAAAATAATAAATATTTAACAAAAATATATAATAAAAATTATTAGTTTCCTTGACTATACTTTAATTAGTCACTCATTTTTGTTAGATTTTACACTCGCACCTTCTAATGTGTTCATTATGTTAACCTCTTTTTTTTGGAAAGCTAACATTAATGTTTTTTTTTTTTAGACTTAAAAAATACAATGTCCACACAATCGACTTGTCTTACCTCATTATTTTGAGATGGGTCAAGATTTTATATCCACACCCTCAATTTGTAGGACAGAACTAAACAGGACAGACATGTTCATAAGTCACTCTTAATTGTGATGTTGCATTTATGTCTTCTATTTGTCAAGATAAAATCAATTATCTTTCATGTCACTTTTATTTAATATTTTTTGTTTCATTTAGGGTTTAGAGCTTTTATTTGTTCCTCCTTCTTGCATTAGGGTTTGTTTTTTGGATTTGATTTTAAAATCAGAAGTTGTGGTTATGAGTTTCATTGCTCTTAACTATGGTTGCTTTTTTCTAGTTTAAGTTTTAATTTTTTTTCATGACTACACTAATATATCAAATGTACACGGTGAAATACCATCCAAGACCTAAAATTTGTTATACTTAAATAATGGTTAAATATGATCATATTTAAATTAAATATTTATGTTATTTAAATATGACCATATTTAAATATTTAAATTTAAATAATATTTAAATATGACAATATTTAAATTTAAATAATGGTTAAATATGACCATATAAATTCTCAATTAGAAAAATTAATATTTCACATGGTCTAACTTGAGATCAATGGGAAAGGTTTTAATTTTGGAAGTCTCAATTGTAAAGATGTCTATTTATTGTGCCAGTCTCGTGACGCTAAAGTTAATTGGGCTAATTGTTAGTATATTCCCTATTTTTCCTCTAACAACAGTTGGATATTTTGAATTGGGAAAAATTAATTTAATCGGTTCATTCCCATTCCCACTCAACCCATGATCTTAGTAACCGAGTATTATACATTAGAAATATCTTGTGATAGGAAAGGCTATATATATATTCAGAATGTATTCACATGTTTCATGGTAGCCAAAACCAACTTTCTCTCGGTGGGGATAAATGATTTTCAAGAAAGATGAGAGAAGAAGAAGAAGAAAAAGAGAGAAAATTGTATTTTAAAATCTGTTATTTCTGTTAAGTGTGCAGTTTATATGCGATTAAGGCCCATGTCCAAACTTATAACCCAAGCCCAATTGCAAAGTATATTTTGACATACAACTAACTTTGCAACTACTTCGACACACTACTTCAATACAGTCGAACACAATGTTTGTCAAAGACTATCTTGCATACAAAACATTAAGTTATAACTTATAACACGCCACCTAATTCATGTTTTCGAGACTTCTCAGTTCAATGCTTTTCTTTAACTCATCAAACCTAACTTTCTTCAGTGTCTTGGTGAGTATATCAGCTAGTTGTCATTCTGTCTTGCAATGCTCAAGTTTAAGATTCCATTTATTTACTTGATCCCTAAGGAAATGATACCTCATCTCAAAGTCTTTACTTCGACCATGACATGTATGATGATTGGTTATGTCAATAGCTAACTTGTTATCTATAAACAGCTTCATCTTCTAAGGTTCCATGATCTTGAGTTCTTCGAGAAAAATCTCTACACATGCTTCTTAACATGCAACATACAATGCACCCACGTACTCAGCTTCACATGATGACAAATCCATAATATTTTGCTTCCTTAAGCTCTAAGAGATTGGAGCGTCTTTGATCATGAATATGTAGCTTGCAGTAGTCTTCTTTTTGTCTTGATCTCCACTAAAATTTGAATCATTGTAGCCAAATACCTTTACATCTATGTTGCTCTTCTTTTGTCTTGGCATCAACACAGCATGATCAAGTGTATCATTTATGTATCTCAACACCCTTTTCACTATAGTGAGATGACATTCTCGGTGTTTCTCCATAAATATGCTCAATAGCCTAACATTTGACAGATATCTAGTCTGGTATTGCAAATATTCCTCAAGGATCCAATGATTTGTTTATATAGTTTTGCACTTACAAACTCATCACTTGTCTCCTTCCTCAACTTTGGTATAGTTTATAATGGTGCGACGACTGCATTGGAGTTACTCATCTTGAACCTCTTCAAGATATCTGGGCATACTTCTATTGATTCAAGAACACTCATTCATTTGTGTCTTTGAACTCCATCCATAGGAAATATGACAAGTTCCCTAGGTCATACATTTCAAACTCTTGCATCAACTTTGACTTGACCCTTCTTATCTCAACTTCACCTGTAACCAAAAAAATCATCTACCTACAAGCATAAAATGATTTAACTGACCTTGACAACATCATTCGCATACCCTTTATATTCAAAGACTCACTTTGTGAAACCTGCTTCGATCAGGAAGTTATCTATTTTCAAGCCATATAGAATCTTCCTCACTCTGTACACCTTAGACTTCTGCCCTTTAATTTCAAATCCTAGTGGTTGACTGACATGGACGTCTTATTCCAAAGGTCCATTCATAAATGTTGATTTTACATCCAATTGATGTATCTTTCACCCTTTATATGTTGATGTCTACACAATAATCCTGGTTGTCTCTAGCCTTGCAACAAGTGTGTAGATTTCGTTGAAATCATACCAGGTTTTTGTAGAAAACCTATCGCCACTAGTCTTACCTTATGATTGGCAATTTCACTGTTTGACCTTTATTTCAACTTCTACACCCACTTCACATTAGTTGACTTCTTGCTAGATTTTTCGACAAGTTCACAGGTCTTGTTCTTCTTGATTGCCCTGAGTTTTTCCTTCATGGCTTCACACTAATTTAAATTGTTCATGGGTTGATCCAAATCGATTGGTTCTGCTTCAACCATCATCGTTACTTCTTCTATTAAGTCACCATCTGTGTCAACAGCTTGATCTGGAAATCTCTCATATCCAACTAGCCTTATTGACTCAATTTTTGTTCTAATAGATCTTCTGACATTATGCTCATGTGGTTCTTCATTTTGATTAGTTGTGACTTCAGTTTGTTGATCTTCTTGAAACACGGTTGTGATTGTATCTAACTCCTATCGAACCGACCCATGACTCTAATCCTGCCATTTGCTCTTGTCAACTAGAACATCTCTGTTGATCACTAGCTTATCATCACTTGGCGGATACAACTTGTATACATCAATCAAATGATAACTTATGTGTGCCATGGTCTAACTTTGATAATCTAGATTCTTCCTCGATTGTTCAGGAATATGCTTGAAACACATCGATCCAAAAGCTCTAAAATGACTGACATTTGGCTTATGTCCTGTCCAAGATTCATAAGGTGTCTTCTCGACAATCTTCTTCGTTGTACATCTATTTAGAATGTATATTATTGTCAAAGCTTCTTCACCTTAAAAACTCTTTGACATATCTTTAGCTTTCAACATGTTTATCGTCATGTTCAATATACTTTTATTCTTTTGTCAACTATACCATTGTGTTGATGTGCATAGTGTGATCGGTGGATCTGGAACTGACTGTTTAACGCTGGTTCGCGAAATGTCGCGGAAGCAAGAGTCGCCACCGTCTTTTATTTTCTCCAAATAGAAAGGACAAAAGCACAGAAAAATTCCTTATAGAGATTGCTCTCGGTTCGGGAGGTAGGTTATAGAAAGGGAAGGTGTTAGCACCCTTTCTATCCATGGTTATCCATGGGCTCTTAGATACTTGCTCACTTGTGTTTTCAAAAAGGGTTTGTTTGCTTTTCAACTGTGGGTTTTAAAAAGTTTCTTTGAAAATTTCAGTTCGACTCTTGTATCGGTCTTCAAGAGTGTTTGAAAAATTGCTTTCGAAAGCTTTTTGAAAAGGTGTCGGTGTGAAAAGTATGTTTGAATTTTTGTTTCGAAATTAGAGCAAGTATCTAGAGTTGTCTACCTACCCTAAGGAATTCGTCTGTATAGATGTCCTTTAAAGTAGTGTCATCCCACCATTGAGAGGTAGGTAGCACCACCGTTGGAGGTGTTCGGGTCAATTCGAGGTTCAGGACATGGTGATCACCAGAGCAATGGGAAGACACCTTAGAAGCTACCCTCATGCCAGGTTCCCGGATCATGAGGACTTACTAAGACATCCTCTACTTGACGATCACCTTTCGAGGCAAGGCAACAGTGAGGCGTACCCTAGGGGTGGTGTGTGCGATTCGTGTGTCGTTTTCATTTGCATTTATCTTGTCATGTTATTGGTGTTCTACGCTTGTTTTTATTTTAGTCATTCATTCTTGCATGTCATTATTAACAATTAAAAAAATGCGAGAAAGGTAAAGTTTCTAAACTATTACAAAGGCGCGGGTCCACATCGCCAAATTAAAATCCAGGACCCGATTTGACAGAAAGTAAATAAAGTGTGAGAAATAAAATGTCCGAGTTTACAAGGCTTTGGGAGAATTACATTAATATTTACAAGAAATAAAATAAGATGCGTGAATTGAATAAAAAAATCGCAAGCGAGGGCGTTGGACCCTTTTTAAGGAAATTAAATTATGATAATTAAATTAATGAAATAAGAATGAAAAAAGAAATTATTTTG